TTTTTAAAAAAATCACATCTAAATTAAAAAAAACTTAATTTGTTTATAAAAAATTGTAATTTTTTAAATAAAAAATGAAAAAAATTTTTTGTTAACATTATTAAAAAAAAATTGAAAAAATCTAATTTTTTCGAGTTATCAGCGATTAAAAATAGGTCTACATTTACAAAAATGAAATTTTGAAAATACATATCTCGAAAATTTGAACAAGAAGAAAAAATATATGGCCGAATTTAAAGGGTCCAATGAAATCTCACGTTAAATCACCCATATATAAAAGTTAATGATTTTTTTAACAGAAAAAAATATATTAATAACCACTGTAAAATAAAATTATTATTGATAAATTGTTTAAAATTATAATTTTTATAAATATTATCTTTATTTATTTAATTTAGTTAAAACATAAATAATAATGTGAAAGTAAACACAATAGAAAATTCGATACAAATTAATATTGTATTAAATTGTAGGTAATTTTAATAGGTACTGACAACAATGTTTACAATTTAATTTTAAAGAATATTCTCATTTTATTTAAAATTAACTCATTTTTTTATTTGAACAAGCCCACGTAAAAGTTACGTTCAAAATTTAATTTCGGGTTGGTATATTTGAACTCTTTTCTACAATAATGCATATATTCTATTTAAAATATGTGACAGTCCCCGAGAGAAGGGACCTTAGCTCACCAAAACGAATTTCACAGGGCAACCGTTTAAAGAAGAAGCAGAAACGCGAAACTCGAAGAGTGGGGCGGAACTTCTGAAAAGTCCCCCCACCACACTAACACAACGTTGTGTTTCTGTATACGTGAGCTTCGTCTACTTCGTGTATCTTCGGGTCTCACGTACGCGAAGCTCACGTACGCGAGAGTATAGTTGTGTAAGTAAAGTAGTGGGGCTGATTTCTTGAGTGCCACAATCCGCCTCGAAATGCGCTTGACATACCCATCTTCAAAATGTTATTGTGTCAAAAGCAATTATCCTAATCAGTTTTTGACTTTTGCATGTGAAAAAGCAATTCAAAATCTATCATTTACCATATAAAACTCAATATTGACCTCTGGTGAGCTAAGGTCCCTTCTCTCGGGGACTGTCACATATATTGTGATTAAATAGAAAAATTTCAAGTTTTCGAAACTTGATACATTTTTCTAGTTTTGAAGGTTTGTGTTAAACAGTGGGACACCTATTATTAAATAATGAATAATTGTTTCAATAATAATATTCTGCTTCATACTTTGTAAATATATATGTTTTGCATTAAATAACGTTAACAAATGTTGCCAAACACTCATAATTTAATAATATTTCACATTTTTATAATACAATGTCAAGTTTCATATGAAATATTGCTATTATTTTTTTACGTTTACAGTACTGCTGATCATACGTCATAATTTGGTCATAACCTAAAAACAATTTGGAGGAAAATTTGAATAGTCGTTCTCTTATCAAGTGTTATTTTTCAAATATTGTCGAACAATAATTGTAATAATTATAAATTTTAAATTTTTTAATGTTTTTTAGCATAAAAAAATCACATTTTTGGTCGTTGTGTAAGTATAAATGCGCATGCAAATATTTAAAATATTTTAAATTATTGGATATTATACTTAAAAACATGAGTAAACGAAGTAACAATTAAACTCTATTGTCCAAGGATTGGTATTGTTTGTGGTAATTGTTCTGAGGGACTAATACTGGTATATACATATTTTTTTATTTTGAAAACAGAAAAAAAGAAGAGTAAGATTTTTAGGCGAAGATATTCTTATGTTATTTTGAATCCTCTAGATAGAAAAATGCAATATTGAATGAAAATGTTTATATGTTATATTCCTTGATGTGAGAAAGAAGATTACCTAGATAGATTACCTCTTCAGTTTTTGACTTTTATCTTTATATTTCCATGAGATAATACACGGAAAAAATTTCGAGACGTCAGACGTGCCGATGTCGATGTAAACCTACAGTACATTTCATTATGTACTCAGAGTTAATCTTCATTAACAAAGGTTCTATTGGCCAAGGGTTGGTACATCTTTATTTTTCTATATAATAAATGTGTAAAAAGAAATTATTACCTGGGTCCTCAGAGTTAATCCTCATTAACAAAGGTTCTATTGTCCAATGGTTGGTTTTCTGTGGTATTTGTTCCGGGGTTTTAATACAGGTATAAATACGTATATATGTTATTTATAATGAACTACTAATTACTCATATAAGAGTGTCCTTTTTGCACATATTGGCTGATCAGTAGTTACTGATTCATAGTTACTCATAGTTCTCTCATTCTTTTGGATATTTGGTAATTTTATTGGATAAAAGGCATAATTGGTTATATTGGATTAAAGTAAAAATTGGTTATATTCAATTAAAGGAACAATTGGTTATATTTAGTAAAAGGTAAAATTAGTTGTATTGAATTAAAGGAAAAATTGGTTATATTTAATAAAAGGTAAAATTGGTTGTATTGAATTAAAGACAAAATTGGTTATATTTAATAAAAGGCAAAATTTGTTATATTAGAGAGAGTGAGCAAAAGGGTTAAGATATTTAGATTTTCATGAATCAAAAATAAAATTAAACGAAGTATACTACGGCCAACATAAAAGAGTATGTTATTTTAAGTGATAAAGATTTAAAAATTATTGCAAATAGAAATAAATTGTTAAATTACATGCATATGTACAAATTTGAAGATTTATTAAGAAAAGATTCCAATTTTTTTCAATATACAAAGTGCTTTTTATGTACAAATGCTTGATTTTATTGTCCCAATTAGAGAAGGTGATAAACATATTCAAATACTTTTTAGCGGTAGTAACAATTATTTATGGTCACTGAATTTGTGTCTATTACGATAGAGTAAGGCTTTATATTTTTGATAGCCTTAATGAGGGGTGTTTAAATGTGCATCAAATAAAATATTTAATTAGTTTGTTCCCTTTTAAACCAACAGTAGTTTTTGAAGCTGTTGATCAACAACCTTTTGGTAGTGTTGAGTGTGGAGTATATGCAATAGCATTTGCAACATCTATATTATTTAAGGTAATGCCAAACCGTGTAAATTATGAAACTGATAATAACAAAATGAGAAACCATTTTAAGTCAATGTTTGAAAATAATCGCTTAAATCATTTTCCGACAGTAAGAACGTCTCACAATAGGAATTCGATAATAGAGAATGATTAGAACCGTCTTTTCATAAATTGAACTCAGGAACATAAAAATTATATTTTTAGTAATTATATTCCCAGTAATAATATTAACAGAGTTCTATTAACACAAGATTTAAAAATTAAACATTCTCTAAATGACACTAGTGAAAAGAAAATAATTGCTACAACTGATAATAATGTGAACTAAATTTCACCACATGAATATTTAAAAATGAAAAATTTTCTGAGTAAAGAAAATGATAAAAAGATAAATTGAGCAATTAAAGAGAAGGGAAGAAAAAGGAAGGCAAGGCGCGAAGTTACATATGAGCAGAAAATAATAAGACAGGAGAATGCGAGATTGAGAAAACGTAATCGTAATAAAACAGAAATAAAAAAGAAAGAGCGCAAAAAAAATTTGACATACAAAAAAAAGAAATTATCTATAAAAACTGAAGATGGAAAGAAAATACGCAAGGATAAAAATTTGGCATGTAGGAAAAGAAAAATATCAATGGAAACTCAAGATGAAAAGAAAGTGCGTCAAGAAAATAATTTGTCATGTAAGAAGAAAAAATTTTCTACGGCAACGGAAGATGAAAAGAATGTGTGAAGAAAAGAATTTGACATGTAAAAACGATAATTGGAAAAAAAAAGTGCAGGAGTTGCAGTAATGTCTTTTGAAGATTTCGATGAATGTAAAGTTCCACAGAATTATTTAGGTTTAATAAATGTAGAATGTAAGTTTTGTAATGCGTTACATTTTTTGTGTGAAAGACCGTCACATAGATACATCACCGAGGAATGTCCCCGTGAAGAGGACATTATGATATCGCCTGAATGTCACAAAAATATTCCCGGTTCATATCAGCTTGCCAATCAAGCAATATTTTGTGCTACTTGGGTGGTAGATCCACCCAATAATATTAAATTTTTTTGAAAAAAAAATGAATAAAAAATATGGTTAATGCACACTAGCAACGTAGTCGGCCGCTTGCGGACGACAAAGTTGCTAGTTTAACTAATAATTGTGATTTGAAGTACCCGATGTAACAAGACGACATAGGAAACGACATTAATTTAATTATAACAGATTTTTAAAATAGTTGTTTAGTAAACGAAATCAGGCAAAAGATGCAAAAGTAAACAAATTTTTGAATTTAAAGAAAATTTAATTGTCGATGTATTTTTCTTTCAATATGTGATTTTACAATGAAAATATTGCAAATTTACATTGGGACTGGAATTTCACAATCGCCATTTAAAATCGCTCTACACTGTACTGTAAGTTTACGGAATCTTGTATTTCTAACCTCAAAATCATTAATATTGTCAAACTGAGTGTAGTATAATCACATAATTCTGTAACGAAATTTGTTACAGAATCTTGTAATTCTACTATTTAAATAGTAAAATTAAAACCTTTTTTACAGTGTGGCTACTCGGGGTTTTCAGGCAAATCCAACAATTTTTTAAAAAAATTTACCGCCATATTGCATACTCCACTTTGAATTTTGAAAATTTAATATCAGATAATACAATCAGCAACGCCAAAAATCCCCGAGTAACAAGTTTCAAGCGAATCTAAAAACTAACTAACTTGTTGCCAAAACATTTTTGACGCGATATTTTTAACATTTAGAGGTATTTTGAAAAGATAAGAGTTGAAAAAGTATAACTGAACAAAAATTCTACAAAAAATCGTTTTCTTAAATGCTTGTAAATTGTTTATTTAAAATTTTTCTTGAGATTATTAATCTTACGGTACCATTTTATATTATTCCGATATAAGAGTATATATTTTTTTAGTTCTTAACAGTTTTAATAATATTACCGTAAGATGTTTTTTTATTTTGTTGTATACGAATTGCAGTTATTTTAACCAATTATGGGATTCATCTATTTGAAGCGAAATATTTTCAAATACGACGTTATAAGTTTTTATTTTCTTCTTTAACCTATAACTTTCAAAATGTCCTTTTATAGTGATGCCTTATTGTCCATAAAAATCTAAACAAAGTATATCACTTTCTATACATTCATTTCGGAAAGTAAATTTTAAAATACTGCTACTATGAAACTTGAGAAAAATAGGTTACCTTTCAAAGATATGCACAATTATACATATGAGAAATGATTTATGACACAAGTTTAACGTCGACGCATAAGTATTCTTTATTAAATTTATTAATATACTTCGATTTTATGTTACACGTTTATCTAATAGAATATTTAAATTTTACTTTTAAAACTGATCTAACATTTCACAGTTCATAAGTGTGAAAAGCTATGTAAAAATGTGATTAAAATATTTTAAATATTTTTATTGACGGTTTCAGTACGGATAGAATTCTATTTTGTAAAAAAATTTACAGTGCAACAAATTTTTAACAATTTTTTAAATATAAACAATATAAGTTATATATAATATGTGTAACAATAGTTGTAAAACTATTGAAAAATATAATCTGAAAATTCAAAACGAAAATTTCAAGCCGTTTAAAAGTAATAAACAATTAAGTGAGTGTCCCTCGATGATGGGTCAGAGCGCGCTAGGGCAAAAACACGCCATATTGCATCCGCCATTTAAAAATTTTTAAAAATTGATCTCAGATTCGTAATCAGCGACCCCGAAAACATAGTAAATAGTACTGCTTAGAACATTTTGATTATTTCCGAATTGCGTAATTCAAAGGATTAACCTTTTCTGACACTTTTTTTCAAACACGTTTTTCTCGAAACGACTTTTTTCGAAATTGTGCACACTCTAGCTTAAAAAGTTTTTAATCAATCACTCTGAAATTTGGCATGTAGTTTCGATATATAATTACACTCTATGTGAACCTCAATCCCGGACAATATCTTTATTTAATTTTGGTTTTTGTTATAAAAAATAGTATGAAAAAATGGCAAAAATCATGTTTTTTGTTCATACCCCTCCAAAAATTAGTAATGTACTATATTTTTTTATGGAAATGAGGTTCACATCGAAGAGATACATATAAAAAAAGTATATTCTTTATGCTCGATTCAGAGGATTGAATGCTACGCGGTAATTTTCTGTATCTGTATATTAGTATTTACTTCTGATCAAACCCAGCGACCTCTTGACGTGGAATGGCTCATTACTGTGTCCAGGATTGTACTAACTATGTCAAAAACATAAGTTAAAAATGAACATAACATCAATACTCAATGTCAAACTACAGAAAAATAGATTAAAACGAACATAACCTCAAAACTTTGGTTAAAAACCTAAGTGTTTAGGTTACGAGACGAACATAACCTCAAAATGAGTATCAGAGATCAAGATCATATTAAAATATACCTACATAAATTTCCGCTTTGCAAATTTAAAAAAATTTATTAAATATAAATTTAATAATAATTCAATTTAATATTTGTTAATTTAATAAAATATTAATAATTATTAAATTTAATTCTATATGATGTATTCCACGCCAAAATGTAAGTCCATCTGCAATTGCATTTCCGATTTTTTTTTTCATTTAGTATTAATTGAGACTAGCTTCCATGAATTTTTTCAAATTTTTTTAGCAAGCCGTTTTCGAGTTATGGAATTTTAAAAATTGGAGAATTTTTATGACTTTTAATTTTTGAATGCTCATAACTTCCTTAAAAATGCATCAATTTTAAAAGTCTTTTTTTAAAAATGTGTGTTTTTAAACATACTTTTCAAAAAAATTGAAATTTTTTAAACATATTACTATCAAATTTTTGAGTTTTAATGATAAAAAGTCATTTTTCTCATTTGACGTACTGACCGATTTTTTTCAAAATTTTTTCAAAAAAACTACTTCTTTTTACGAAATTTTTAAGCCTAGCCCGATAATGGGCAAACAATCTTTACAATATTTTCGGAATAATTCAAAAATTTTTGAATTTTCAATTTTTTAAAAATATTTCTGGTTTTTTTTATACTACGTACTTTTATGTATTTTGATGCGCTCATTACGAAAATCATAGTAACAATACCCAAAAATTAGATTTTTATCGTGCAAACCATAAAAAAGACCCAAAATTTATAGTTTTTTTTCGTTTATTAGGTAAAATATGCAAAATTAAAAAAGATGCATTAGATATAAAAAATGTATTTTAATAAGATCTATAACTTTTGTTTAAAAGTTTTTTTAAAAATTTGCATATTTTACCCAGTAAACGAAAGAAACCATAGATTTTGGGACTTTTTTATGGTTTTTACCATAAAAATCAAATTTTTGGGTATTGTCACTATGATTTTCATAATCAGCGCATCAAAAGTATAAAAAAAACCAAACATATTTTTAAAAAATTCAAAAATTTTTGAAGAATCCCAAAAATATTGTAAAAATTGTTTGCCCATTATCGGACTAGGCTTAAAAGTTTCGTAAAAAGTAGTTTTTTTGAAAAAATCGGTCAGTACGTCAAATGAGAAAAATGATTTTTTATCATTAAAACTGAAAAATTTGATAGTAATATGGTTTAAAAAAAATTTTTTTTGTTTTTTTTTGAAAAGTACGTTTAAAACACACATTTAAAAAAAAGACTTTTAAAATTGATTCATTTTTAAGGCTTGCTAAAAAAATTTGAAAAAATTCATGGAAGCTAGTCTCAATTAGTACTAAAAGAAAAAAAAATCTCAAAAAAATCGGAGATGCAATTGCAGATGGACTTTCACTTTGGCGTGATTAACACTATAAGTACTAAGGATCCTGCATACATAGAACTACCACCGGTACATTTTGTTTCATTATTCATTTGTTTTTTTTCTATTGTAACGTTCGTAATTGAAAGTATCAATATTTAGCTCGCCGAGCCAGGGTTCGTTTTGATTCTAACACTAAAAAATAATAATAACAGCTTAATTACAAACTGATAATAAATTATTTATTTACAACGGTATTTACAGGTGTCGAAAATTATACAGGCGTAACAAGTAAATCGCGTAAGTCGGTTTCAAACAATTATGGTCGGCGTCTATCGCGATGCGTTGAGCCGGGGAAAAGAGAATCGGCATCAATCTGGTAACGTCGCTTATTTTGAGCTGCGCATTAACGAAATCGTCTTCAACTCGCTGCGATGAGCCGTGGAATCATTGTAATACTTCCTAAAAATCCGGGATATACTGGTAAGTACAAGTAAAACTCGTATTCTAATTATACAAAGAGTAAAACTCTAAGTATATCTAAAAACGGTAATAAAACGGCAAATCTACTTTAAACTTCGTGAATACAAATTTACGTTACGTAGTATAAAAAAAATAAAATAAAAAAAATAATTTTAATACGTTACTTTACGATTCGTTACTGTAAATTACGTTACGTTATTTTACATTACATTACTATACATTGTGATATTTTACATTTCGTTACGTTACTTTTCACTATATACATTAAAAACCGATAAAATATTTAACGGGTAAAACCCGTCGAACGAGAGTAAAACTCTCTACGAAAGTTATTCGGAGTAAAACTCCGGGAGTATAGTTCCTTAGGGGTAAAACCCCTATTCAGGTGGGTAAGACCCTCCTGGACTCCGTGTAGCACGCGAGTGACGGTCCTCAGCGGGAGCGCAGCTTATATAGCCGATCGGTGGGCTAAGCGTACGCGAGAGAGCTTTTAGCGATGCGGCCCGCGCGGCGGAATCGGGTACTACGTTGTAGTGCTCCGCAGTCGGTAACCTGTTTATCGACTTACGATAATATTTAGTATAAATATTTACCGGCTAATTTCTAACTATCATTACACTATTAACATTTACAAGTTAGAAAAATAAAATAATACATGATTTTTATAGGTTTTTTCAGGTAGATTACGAATCTGAAGTCGGAAATACGCCAGAATTTTAATTTTCCACTAAAAAATAGATTTGAGTTATAAAAAACAACGTTTTTTATGTTAACTTTAAAGCAATATAGAAAATTATCCCGAAAAGTTGCAAACTTCCGGTAGGCCTTAAAATAATAAATAAACCTTCAACAATAAATTATGTATGTGAAAAACCCAAAACTTTCTGAGATTTTGCCAAAAACGATTCTTTTGATAATCGCGTTTCATAAGTCGTTTCGTACACTAACCGTCCGCTGCGCTGCTTCCCATGTAGATTTGTCTCGTCGGTAGTTCTAGGTATGCCGGTTCAGATCTCAGGTTCTATTAACGATAAAAATCTGAAATCTGGTATACTGAATAAACTTAACTCAAAAAATTTTAGCTCTTTAGCTAGTCATTAACGAAAGATACAAAAGAAAAACCGTGCGTAGCGGGACAAAATTTAACGTTGGTAGTTCTAGTGTTAAATTAATAATTTTAATTTTATTTAAAATACCTTCGATTAACGACAACAAAATGTAGTTGTTGAGCTTGTGTTAAAATTTGAGCCAAATCGGTTCAGCGGTTTTTCAGATATTGTTGTCACCGACTTAAAAAACGTAGTTTACCCTGTTGAAAATTCCTATGTGAGAACACATATGGGATCCCATCCAGGATCTCTTGTGAGTTCTTATGTGGGTTCCCGTACAGGTTCACACATAAGATCCTGTATGAAAAGGTTCCTGGGATGAACTTGCGTGAGATCAAGCGCACGATCTTATGTCTCTGTAAAAGCAATAACACAGGATCCCATGAGGTTTCCTGTGTAGGTTCCTATATGAACAACACGATAAATAGGAACACACATGGGATCTTATCCGAGATCTTGTATGAGTTCTTACATAGGTTCTCACATATAAGAAGATTAATAGCATATATATAAAAGCATTCTATAAAATCTTATTAAGCTGCTATTAATCTTCTTATATGTGAGAACCTATGTAAGAACTCATACAAGATCTCGGATAAGATCCCATGTGTGTTCCTATTTATCGTGTTGTTCATATAGAAACTTACACAGGAAACCTCATGGGAGATTAATAGCAGCTTAATAAGATTTTATATAAAATCTTATTAAGCTGCTATTAATCTTCTTATATGTGAGAACCTATGTAAGAACTCATAGAAGATCTCGGATAAGATCCCATGTGTGTTCCTATTTATCGTGTTGTTCATATAGGAACCTACACAGGAAACCTCATGGGATCCTGTGTTATTGCTTTTACAGAGACATAAGATCGTGCGCTTGATCTCACGCAAGTTCATCCCAGGAACCTTTTCATACAGGATCTTATGTGTGAACCTGTATGGGAACCCACATAAGAACTCACAAGAAATCCTGGATGGGATCCCATATGTGTTCTCACATAGGAATTTTCAACAGGGTAGAGAAAAGCGAGTTAAAAGTTTCACAAACAGTTTACATTGAGTATGTAATAAATGTGTGATATAAGAAATATGCAATATTGTAAGGCAAGGGAACGAATGCCTCTTGAATATATACTCAGTTATACGAAAATTGTAAGGTAGAATATAATACACGGGACAAAAAAATCAGATTTCTATAGGAGTTACCGATGCTTTAACTGCTTTACACCGCACGGCGCATCCTTGCCTATTATGTCTATAACTTTACAAATATTCCTTAAATCTTAATAAACATTGTTTTCACAACAGTCAAATATGTATGGCTCATTTCATTTAAATTGTCATATTCAGCTTTCAGAAAAGTTGAGTTGGAAAATTTTGATTTTAAGGTTGAAACTAATTTTTTTATACAGTTTAACATGTTAAATTAACAAAATACATAGTGGTCACAAAATTAAAGTCATATATTTCTTATGGCAGACGGTTTTTTTTGGCAGAAATCGTCATATCTTATAAAAATTTTTTTTTGTCAATTTTTGATAAAATAATATATAAACTAAATATAATTTGTTTTGACTGGTGATAAATATACTGAATTTTTTGGGGTCGCTGAATCCGAATTTGAAGTCAGATTTAAAATATTCAAAATGGCGACCATGAAAATTTAGAAGTTGATTCGATTCGCTTGAAACTCGTTACTAAGGGGTTTTTTGGGTTGCTAATTACAAATATGACGTCAGATCTTCAAAATTTAAAACGGTGGATCCAATATGACGATCTAATATTGTGCTGCACTGCTGTTTAGTACAGTTTATTCGTGAAGTTTATTATATTAATGCAATGTCTATTCCATGTTCTTAAGTTCATAAATTTTATAAATAAATTGTAACTGGAATTAATATTTAAATAAATGAAATTCCAAAAAAATGTCTATCATTATTGTTATATATTTATTACCTTGAACTATATTAAATTTTATTAAACTATTCTCTAAGTTTAAATAACTTTTGCATAATTAGTGTCAAAAACTTTAAAATTTGCGTTGAGTTAAGAATTTTTACGTTTTCTATTTATTTATTTTTATTTTTCTAGTGAAAATTAGGGGAAAAAAATTTATTTTTAGTGGAAAATATCTAGCCATCTAGGGGGAAAGCGCCATAGGCATCTGACAACACTGTCGGGGGTTTTCGGGGTCGCTGAATTCGAATTTGATGACAGATGAACCCAAAAATCTTAAATACGATAAAATCAAATTTTTTTGAAGGCTCTGTTTGGAACCTTATTAGGCCTATAAGTGATTTTTGACTGGACTGCGAAGGGGTTAAAAATTATATAGGCAAAATGCAAAATTTATGTCCTTAAACATTTTGAACATAAAACAAATAAACATGTTCAGGGCCTAAAAATACATTAGAAACTATTCTGGTATCAAGATAAAAGAAAAAAGTTTTATTTTGTAGGCTTGTGTGATTTATTACGTTTACTGAAGCCATATATACAAATTTGCATTACACTTATGACCATTACACTGTTGACATTTTGCTAGTTTTTCGCTTATAAAATGAAAACGGTTATACTTATATCGATGGGGTTGGTCTCATTCGAAAGAGAATCCAAAAATACATTAAATTCCATACCGATATAAAATTCAAAATATTGTCTAACCATTTTCAAGGCATTACACTGTTGACAGAAATTCAATTACGAAAGTGTTTCGGCTTTTTCTGCCTCCATGACAAACGAGCAGATTTATACTTATATCGTTTTCGTTTTTTTCACACACTTCGTTGTTATGTTCTGCTGCTTATGCGATGGTAAAGAAATTTTTTGCTCATAATGTAATTTAAATAGCAGGTAAAACTAGGAAATTCTACCGGCAAAACGTAAAAATACAAAAGTGAGGGACACGTCATTTTCATTTTCTGTAAATTGTATAAAATAAAGTTTAATTACCAACACTTGGTTTTCCTTAAATATAGAACTAATACTTCAAGAAACATTTATTTGATCTGGTTTAAACACTATATTTTTGACATTTCATTCATTTGAACATTGTAAATGTCTCCGGGGACGCATTATACTTATGACATTTTGCCTGCTTTTTGTTCTGACAATATTATAAAAATCACTTTTATGTCCTTGTAAATAGAAAAATGATTGAAAATTATTGCTTTTTACTATTATATAAACAAATTAATTTCAACTAAGGTTAAATCAAATAATTTTTTTGGTAAGGGACACGAATATGACAATTTAAATGAAATGAGTCATATAATGATATTTAAAGCTTTTTTGACAAGCTACACGAAGGTGATAAAATTTTTTTTTATAAAATTTGACCTTGAAATTCAAAGTCAAAATGTTAATTTACGTATATCTCAAAATCGGATTTAAAAAAATTTGTTTCAATCTCTCTCAATGGAAAGATTGACTAATTTTCTACAAAACATGTAATTTTCAGAGTGGAATCTTTTAAAATTTTTAAGATATTAATTAATTAATGTTTATAACAAATGAAATATCTTACAAACAAATAAAGTTATGGTAATTCTGAACTTACAAATTGAAATTTATGGTAATTCCGCGTCCAACGAGCCCTATATGAAGTATTTTGGATAAGTAGATTGTTAATAAACAATTGTAATGTTAACGCATTTTTTATTAACAATCTACTTATCTAAAACACTTCATATAAGGCTTGTTAGATGCGGAATTACGTTAACTTTTAATTGCCAACTTCAGAATTACGGTAACTTATTTGTTTGTAAAATATTTCATTTGTTGTAAACATTAATTAATTAATTAATATCTCAAAAACTTTAAAAGATCCCACTCTAAAAATTACATGTTTTGTAGGAAATTAGTCAATCTTTCCATTGAGGTAGATTAAAAAAAAATTTTAAATCCGATTTTGAGATATACGTAAATTAACCTTGAAATTCAAGGTCAAATTTAATTTTAAAAAGAAAAATTATATCACCATCGTATAGACCGTCAAAAAAGCTTTAAAAATCATTAAACAGTTTGTTCTAAAAGTATGGAAACTTGCAAATATCTCGAAAAATACAAATTTTCGTAAAAAATGTTCAAGACAAAAGTTGTTATCTTTGAAAACAAAAAATTGGACCCGGAGCCCAATGTTGGGCCCTACAATAAAAAAGTGGTTTTCTTAAATGAGACCACTAATTTTCAGTTTCAAATTCGTAATCCCCATGAAATTCTGCGTTCAGACATGTGGTATAAGTGCCTAAAATATTTGTCCCAATCCAAGATATTGGGTCAAAAATTTTTCTACAGATAAATAAATTTTAACAATTTTAGATTAGAGGATTTTTTGTAAACAATTGCGATGTTAGCCAATTGTTTATTAACAAACAACTAACCCAAAGTACTTCATATAGGGCTCGTTGGATGCGGAATTTTGTCAACTTTCATTTAGTAACGTCAGAATAACGATAACTTTATTCGTTTATAAAATATATAATTTTTTATTAACATTAATAGTTAATTCTTGTGCACTTTCGACTGGTGAATGATGAATTTAAATGAAAGTTCACAAAATTCCGCATCCAACGAGCCCTATATAAAGTGCTTTGGGTTAGTGGATTTTTATTAAACAATTGGCTAACATGGCAATTGTTTATAAAAAATCCTCTAATCCAAAATAGTCCATATAGGACTCGTTGGATGGGAAGTAGGTCAGCTTTCAATTCGTACCTTCAGGATTGCAATAACTTTATTTATTTGTGAAATCTTTCATTTTTTATTAACATTGATTAATTAATTAATTAATATCTCTAAAATAACAAAAAAGGAACAACACTTCGTGGTTAAATTACTTACCCCTAGGGCTAAACTATGTGCAAGTTACAGCCCGATCCGAACAACTATTTTTCACTTAGTTCGCTACAAGAAGTTTACCCCATATGTATATGTGACTGTCCACGAGAAAAGGAACCTTATGCTGACTCTACACTTACTGAAATCTGCGCAAGCGGCCGCTCGTAGAGGCGTGCAGGGTGACCAACATTGATTAGAATAGCGAAATACAATAGATTGTATAAAATTTATATGGTTATAATCATACATAATTATATTATAATACGATAATTATATATATATATATATAAAAGCATACATTGTACTTTTACATTGTACCCCATTTTTCGATATGTTACCGAAGTTTCCAACCAAAATAATAGTTACCATACCATTTCTACATATATCTACTACAAGAATATGCAGTTTATACTGCCGTACGATGTAAAAACTTAGGTAACCGACATTGTCGCTTAGGCTGATTTCAGTAGTAATAAACAGGCTACAATCAGCTTAAGCGACAATGTCGGTTACCTAAGTTTTTACATCGTACGGCAGTATAGAAAATCGATTTTCTTAAAAAAAGATGTGGTACTAACCCCTTAACCCGTAAGTTTTAAGTTCGATTCTGCTTCTGCATTAGATCTATTTATTTTACATGTTTGAGTTTCTATACATCAATTAGTTAGAACTTAACAATCTCCGTTCATAGCATATTGCGATTATATATTTCTTATTTTTTATTTTATTATACACATATATTATACTTTGAAAATTGTTAAGTATAAATTAAATTTTAGCTCGGGAACGTAAATTAAAAATTGTTGTCACATTCATATTAGCATTTGTACGTTTACCAAATATATCGTTCAGATAATCATATACCTTTATTATTGCATTCATTCCAAGTTAGCTACACATTTAAAATGTTTGATGCAAAATCAAAGATATGGTTGCTCCATTTTTATCAATAAACTTCGGTTGTTTCTGCTTTCTTTCCGTGCATAAATATAACTAAAAGTTAGTTTAATTTTTTTATTTCTAGGATAAGGAATGTCAAGGAGTAAAAATTCGTGTCATAGAAAGGACTGAGCTGGGAATATTTAAAGATAAGTGCACGCAAGTAATATCGACACATAATTTTTCTTTACTTATCAAGCTATGTTGTAAATTATTACTTAATTGTGTCAATCAAAATGTCTACTACTACTATTTTTATTTAGAACGTTTGAGGAAGAAACTCATGTACGAAAATTAATCATTTCTATATTTATTATAGAGCGAAGAAAATTATGAAACTTTAGCCGAAAAAGACATTATAATTGCAAATCTATTAGCTCAAAGAAGCAGTGAAACTGATAGAAGAACCGATTATGAAGAGTCGATTCAATTCTTAGTATCCGGCATGAAAACACTTCTTCTAAAAGAAAGCAATAATGGGGAGGCAAATAACACCCAAGGAACTTCCCGTAACACTGAGAAGGTGTGCATTTTTTATTATTTTTCTCTATATAGTTATCCTTCCTGTAAATTTTTTTAATCCTCTACTTTTGATTTCTCTATTATATATCGATTCTTCTCTTCTCTTCTGATTTTTCTTATATCGAATTGACAAAATCCGCTAGGGAAAAAATAAAATAACTATAGAGCAACATCGAAATGCTCAAATATATCAGAATTTGCATATGTCAAAAGAGGTCAAGTGCAAACTTTTCTAAAGTATTCTTTTACATTGTGTATTCAATAATGTTTTTAAGAAAATGTAGAATCATAAAACAGCCTTAATTTCCGTGCAGTGTCTTAAATTTTGATTCAATATTTCATGTTTATTTAAAAATAGTTTTATTCTTTATCTAATTGTAAACAATTTATATCAAGTTTTTAATTTTTAAATATTCCTGGTTTTATTAATTTTTAACATTTAAATTTAAAAATTAGAGAATTGTTCGGTTTCAAAGCAATTGTTTAATATTCATAATTTTATTAAAAATGAACAACAAAACTACTATAATTTACCACTTTTGAATTATGTCATCTCTTCCACGGCCGATAAAACAATTGGGTGAGCTCAATTCGCAAACCTCAATCGCTCAATCCTCTAAAAGGATCAGCTTTGAAAGGCTGTATCTCTAAACCTATTAGGGTTATAACATTTTTTTGCAAATTGTCAATTTGGTCAGCTATAACTTCCCTGTGGATTTTTTTTTTTAAAAAAATTATTTTTATGGTAATTATCGAAAAAACTAAAAAACAGATAATTTTGCTAAATTCATGAAATAGTTATTTATGATACAAGTGCGTAAAGTGAGTGATTATACGAGTGTGATGTTTGCAGCACGAGTATAATCACTCACTTTACGCACGTGTATCATACAACATTTTTTGCAACACCCACCTCTAAAGTTAAGTACCTATTATGAGGAATTCCAACTTGCTATTAGAATATTTTCGATTGTATAGAATTAAATAAATCAATCGAAGATCAGGAAAAATATCATTAGGCAGTAGTGTATAAATTTAAAAGTAAAGTTCGTTTTTTAATTTTGTGGTTTTGTATGGTCTAAAAAAATCCTTATATTATGTGAGAGAAATTTCGGTGCGTAAAGTAAATTTCAGTGTGTAAAGTAATATTTCAGTGCGTAAAGTGAATCACTTTACACACCGTTCAAAAAAGAGCTTCTTTACACACACTTTTCGGTGTGTAAAATTTAACTTTAGAGGTTAGTGTTGCAAAAAAACCTTTTTTTTCGAAAGTCATACTTATCTTATTCAATTTTTGAGCTGCAGGGTTAAATTTTTTTATTACTCAGAATTCGATGGACTTTCTTTTTCACATTTATGTTTTTACGCTAAAATGTACTGGAACATGATAAGAAAACAATAAGACAGTTCGGTTGTCAAAGTACTACTACTATACATGATGGTGGACCCTATTGAAAAACCCTGTATAAGATCTTGTACAAGAAAATGTACACGTTCAGCAGCTGAACTTGTACCTGTTCTGGTGAGAACATGTACAAGATCTTGTACAATTTCGGCACCAGAATTTGGAACAAATTCTTGTATGAAAACTTGCACAAGATCTTCTACAAGTAAATATATTTAATATATGTATACAAGAAAATGTACATGTTCTTGTACAAGTTCAGTTAAAAAAATTTTTTTTAATAATTTAGAATCATTAAAACCTTTTACTTATGCATGTCCAAAATTATTGCGCAGCTGTAAAATCCTAAGAAAACTTCTGCGCAGCCTTTAAAGTTTTCAATTTTTACTAAACGAAGACATAAATGAACCTGTACAAGAACATGTACATTTTTTAGTATACAAATATTAAACATATTTTTGTACACGATCTTGTACAAGTTTTAATACAAAAACTTGTTCCAAAAAACTTTGGTGCCGAAATTGTACAAGATCTTGTTACATGTTCTCACCAGAACAGGTACAAGTTCAGCTGCTGAACATGTATATTTTCTTGTACAAGATCTTGTACAGGGATTCTCAATAGGAGAGTGAAAAAGTTAATGATACGATTTTGTTTCTTTTACTCACATACTTTTACACTTTTACTTTGACGCTTTCACGTTTTTACACCGACATAGGACTCCACCCTGATTTTCCTTGTTTCTCTTTTCTTTTTATTAATCTTCTCTTTAAATTATCTTATAAATATATCTTAATTCTTTGTTTTGTTAAATTACACTGGGTAACAAAAAAATGGTCATGTGGTGATTATTTCAAAATTCCTGTGTTTATTGAATATTTGGGTGTCAATGAACAAGAAACTCAAATCTTTGGGAATGTATGCTTGGTATAAAGCGATTCTCAATAATCATATTTGCTTGAAACTAGTCACTTAGGGTGTTTTCGGCATTCACTCAGAGTTAACTCTAGAGTTAGCAGTGGTGCTCAAATGTAAATTTTGATTTTCAGTTCGTCTGTTGGTTGTGAACGTTGTTGATTGGCAATTTGGCATAGACGATTCATTTTGATTGGCGCAGGGTTTGCAATTGTAACAACATGTGAAACGGGCCTTTTATTCTAGTAATGTAATGTTAAAATAAAATTTTTTGTTTCTAGTATTCATAAAAGTCCCCAAAAATTAATTACTAGATGACCCAGAGTTAACTCTGTTTTCTTGCGAGAGTAAAGAAAAAGGGTCAGTCCTAACCTTTAATGGCCGACAAAATTTGTGAACGGATTGTTTGTTTTGAAAAGTGTAAATTGAAACATAATAATTTTTTTTATTAAAAATTATTTTCACTTTTTATTTATAAAAAACAACTTTAATTAAAATAAATAATCTAGTTTCTAAAACAATTCAGATTAATTAAAGTTAGGGAAATAATGAAAAATTTGAAAATTATAAACTTTAAAAAAATAACACGTTTATGGGTAGCAAAAATATGTTCCATTTTTAAATGAAAAACAAAAAATACGTATAAATTAAAAAAAGTAAGCAAACAAGGACAACTAACTTCAAACTCAGGGTGATGAAAATAGAAAATCAATTATTTTATTTAGGTAAATAAATTTTCAAAGATAATATCATTGAGCACCACTGTTAACTCTAGAGTTAACTCTGAGTGAATGCCGAAAACACCCTTAGAAGTTTTTTGGGTTGTTGATTGCAAATTTGAGGTTAGGTTTTAAAAATTCAAAATGGTGGATCCAATATGACTGACGAAGTTTTTAAAAACTGTTTAAATTCTCTTGAGTCGTGTTACTCGAGGGTTTTTGGGGTCACTGATTACGAATTTAAAGTCAGATTTCCGAAATTCAAAATGACACGGGTTACTTGTCACATTTCAAACTTTTCAAAAAAATTTCGATAAATTTGTCGAAAGACTTTCGAGAGCTATTTTAATTCTAGCAATATAATATGCGAAAATGATATAATTCCACCATAATGGATCCGCCATTTTGAATTTCGGAAATCTGACTTTAAATTCGTAATCAGTGACCCCAAAAACCCCCGAGTAACAAATTTCAGATAAATCCATTGAGTTTTTGAAAAAAATTTCCGCCATATTGGATCCGCCATTTTGAATTTTTGAAAAGTAACTGCAGATTCGTAACCGGCGACACCAAAAACCCCCGAGTAACAAATTTCAGATAAATCCATTGAGTTTTTGAAAAAATTGTCCGTCATATTGGATCCGCCATTTTGAATTTTTGAAAACTTATACCGTATTCGTGTTTAGTGACCCAAAAAACATAAGTGTATGGTGCAGAAATAAAAATAATTCATCAATATATTATTTTTTGCAAAATAGTATTTTTTAAATCTTTTTTAGTGGAAAATCGCCATTTTGTTGTCCGCCATCTTAAATTTTAAAATTCGCAACTATACAGTTTTGTAGCTGGGTATTCGAGGACGCGATATTTTGGGTTCCGGAGCAAATTAACTGTCGTTTTCCATGTCAAAATATGTTTTGAATAAAAATTTTTTTGCAGAAAATCATGTTTTTTTGCAATAAAATTGTTATTAATATTAAGGATTTAATTATAATTAAATTTCGACTTCAGAATCGAAAAGAGCGATAAATTTTACGTTAGAAATGGGCTATCCTGAATTTTTAAAATTATTTTTTCATATAAAATAACAGCTGCTAAGTGAAGGTAAATTTTTCGTCCTGGCGGTCGTTAATGGGTTAAATACAGATTCCCCGCAATTATTGCATGACATTTCAGTTTTGGGTCTTAAAGTTGAAGGTTTAAGCTTTCTTTTGAGACCTATTAAAGCTTTCTATGTCCTCACGTTTTCCTTTTATATTACTTCAAAAAATGCCAAAAAAGCCATTTTTTGACACTTTAACCCCCATTTTCAGGGAACTGAACAAATTAAAAAAAATTTTTTTCGTAGTTTTTGTTCATTGACACCCAAATATTCAATAAACACAGGAATTTTGAAATAAACACAACATGACCATTTTTTTGTTACCCAGTGTTATTTCATCTCCTTTGTAAATAATTCACTAATGGAACAATCACAGCTTGGCTGACTGCCTGCGGACAGACGGGGCGAGGGTCGAAATAAGTGTAAGCGATAAGAAATACTTGCTCTTTCTCTCTTACACTCATGTCGCCCAGTCTGCCCGCAGGCAGGCAGCCGATGCCTATGCCAACTGTGTAGTGTTTTTTCGGATTAGAAAAATCAAAATCCAAAAATATTTAGGTTTAATATTGATTTAAGAAATAGTAAAAATTAATATTTTTCCGTAATTCTACACGGAGAAAATTTGTTCCGAGAGTTTTACTGAACTTAGTTCGGTAAAATTGGGATATAACAGCAAAACGGTAATTTTTCAAGAATAAGTACAGTAAAATGAATTTCATAAAACTGTAATGCAAAAGGAATAAAATATTATAACACGTATATTAGTGTCTCCAAGTTCAGTTCGGGAAACCGTAAGGTACTGGCAGTACAAAAAATAGAACAATAGCTAAGAATATTAAGGTCCGTTTTTGATAAATCAGAATTGAAATTTCATAACTTATTTAAATTATTAATGAAGAGTTCGGTAAAACTTCAGGCAAAAATATAAAAAATAAATACTACCATTACTGGAAATCTCAATTCACCTACTTTAATAATTCTCTGATCGTTCATAATTTTAAACTCACATATATGTAGGAATTGAAACAGTACATCATGTTAACCTTACACCTAATACATACAACACGTTTTTATTTTATGTAATACATACTAAACGCATACATATATAATAACGCAATACATATAATCGTTCGCTTTACATTGCTTTAGAGGGTTTGAGCTGTCCTTATATATTAACCTGGATTTTAGTTTACCGCTTGTGAGAAACGTTCGAACAATTTATTGAAAAAAAATAAAATAATTTAGATTCAATTATTTCTGAATATGACAACTAATTTTAAGACTACATATGACATTCGTCAAACTAAAATTTCATACAATTACATGTAGCTTTAGATTTGATTTGTTTGTAAAATTAGTAGACCGTTAAAAGGAAGACTACATGTTTTAAATAAAAGATTCATCAAAAAGTGATAAATGGCACATGTTTTTTTGGTTAATTTTAAATCTTAATAAACGATTGTTTCAAAAACCAACTTTTTGAGAAATTCACTTAATAAAATATTGATTAATAATTTCTTGTAGAGTAATAGTCAACATAATCTACGTATACGTTATCGTAATATAAACCAATGTTTAATGATTCAAATTTTTCATATATTTACAGTACTAGCTTGTAATAAATTAAAATATCATTAAGTTTTAACTGTCATCACTACAAAAAATAAAACCCCGATCATTAAATTTTTTTTAAAATAGACATCAGATTATTAAATGTTATGTCTCATCCATTTTCATAAATCAGCCAACAAATTTTCTTTTTTTCTATTTTTTAATCTAAAATCATCTTCTTCATATCCAAGCATATGTTAGCATGTTCAATCTAGAAATGCATCGTAAACGTAGACCTTCGAAATGTACGTTTGAAAAGTCATTATGTTTATAACACTCTCCGTGTTCCCACGTTTTGCAACGGTAATATCAAGCGGGAATATTCCTGTGACATTCAGGCGATATCATATTCCATGGTGATATACCTGTGTCATTCGTATGATACTGAGAGATTATTCCCGTGAAATTCGTGTGATATCGAGGAAATAATTTATAAAATTCTAAAAAAATTTCTTTTATTTTTTAATTTATTTTTTTATTTAAATATTCAAAACAAACAACATTTTAGAATTTTATAAATTACAGGAATATTCTCTCAATATCACAGAAATTTTCCGCTCAATATTACAAAAATATCCCCTCAATATCATACGAATTTCGTCACGGAAATATTCTCTCAGTATCATACGAATGTCATACGAATCTCACAGGAATATTCCCGTGAAACGGACATTATGATATCACCTGAATGTCATAAGAATATTCTCGTTTGATATCACCTTGATATTCAAGCAATATGCCGTGCTACTTGGGAATGATCACATAATGAATATTATTGATAGTTATCTACTTTTTTGTCGACATTGTTTGAAGTATTGCGAATAAACTTTCATGTTTTCTGTGTATGATGATCACGAGAAAAATATGCTACAGATAATTAAAAAAAATTTTACCAAATGCATACAAATTATTTATTTAAAATCCTATGCTGCAGAATTTGTATCAAATTTTACAAATTTATAGTAGGTACACACTTTTGAATCAATGATTTGTATACTTTTGGCAGAATTTGGAGATACTTAGCTACAAACAACGTTACAAAATAAGCAGTAGCTGCATCTATATACTAGGAAAAAACTTTACACTTATGTCATATTCTCCAATTTACTATTTACTAGCAAATCTTTCTTTATTAAAGATGTGTCAAAAGAACTGCACAAAAACGAAGATTTACCAATATCAAAATGCAAAATGGATGAGTGGAATTATCCAACTGTAAAAAGTCTAATCCGAAAAACTTTAAATAGTCAACGTTATGCAGGAAAGATAAAGCAGTAAGTATAAGTTATTATCTGTAATAAACAAATGCACCAACATAGTGACATAAATGTTTTTTTTCAGAATTTCAGAGGAGTTTAACATTGAGCATGAATAATTATATCTTAAATATTATTTTACTGTTTTTAATGTAGAACATTTAAATTATTACTTTTATAGAAAAAAGGAAAAAGTTTCTAAACATCATATTGTATTTTTAAATTCTTATTTTTACTGAATGTACACGAAAAACTTTAAATTTTACTTACTTTGTAATAATGCATTTCGATATAAGATGCTTGTGTTTATATAATGATCTATATAATAATATTTATTCATAGATTTTCGTTATAAGTGTATTTCAATATTAATTAAAATTGTTTCAAAATTTATTTAACATTTTTTGTTTTATTTTCGATACTCATGTAAAATTTTACAACTTGGTTTGCGGTCACTGCGCGTAATGCAGCACTTGAGATAAGTGATTCTCTGCGACTCAAGTGGTCCACCAATTTATCGCTGCGTTCGATTACGTAATTTAATTTTCACTCTTACTTCCATTTCCTTTTTTTATAATTTGCACTCCTACTTTCGCTAATTTCCATTTCCATTTATTATAATTTTCACTCTCATATCTATTTTTTACAATTTCCACTCGCAATTCCTCTATTTCTAATTTCTATTTCCGCTTTCATTTACACTTTTTCTAATTTTCATTTTATCTCTTTAGATGTAATGTAAAAACCTAATCGTCCCTTAGTCTAAGTCTTTATTGTCCAAAGCCGCGGCACATAAATGTTAGCGCGCTATTTTACGCGTTTCTGTACGATTCGAAACGAAAAAAATTTGAAAATTCTCTTTATATAACCATGTGTGTCCATGGCCAGTACTTTAAGGAAAAATTTCTTTATATTTACGGAAATATCTTGCCTAACTACTAGATGCGTCCCACTGGGTTCAAACTCACAACCATATTCCTGATGTTTGCCGTTAGAGCCTACAAGCATTGCAACTGCTCCTATATGCCATCAACAAAATGAAACTATGAGTTTTCTTAACGAAGTGCTAGTGGTAAGCAATTTATCATAAAGTCATTGATAAATAGCTATAAAGTATAGAGTTAAATCTATTTATTTTATCATACGTAATTATAATATTCTCTTAACAAAACATCAAATTTAAAATGATTATTTAACAGCAATTAAAAGATATAGGTAATCAAAATTCTTTTGTAAAAAAAATTTAAGAGAATGTTTATTATAAAATAATAATTATTAAATATATATATATATATTTTTATTTAAATAAATTGAATAATTGTAATTTTTATCTAATAAAATTTTGCAAACAAAATATAACAGAAGAATTGTAGTATTTTTATCAAGAGGTTTAACATTTTTAATGAGAATCTATATCGTTCGCCCAACACGTGATATGCACACTGAAAAAGAACTAGTAGGCTTTTCTACTTTTTAACTACTCTGCGTAGAACAATAGATTCTAAACTCAATTTAAAAGTTTCTATTAACTATATAAAAATAGTTAAACCAATGAAGAATGTAATTGGTAGAAGAACATTTTGTGATTATATTAGGTCAATTCAAAAATGTTAAAACATCTCAAGATGTAAGTAGTAGATTTTACTACTTAAAGTGGTTTAGTAGGTTTTAAGAACATTTTTTTGGTAGAACACAGGTCTACAAAATAAGACTGTTTTTTAGATGTCGGAGTGGTTTCCAATGTATTTTTGTGTCCTGATGCTGATTCTACACTCACCTAAAACTGAGCGAGCGGTCCGCTTTTCCGTGACGCTTCCCATATTTAACTATATCCATATATATATAAAAAACGTAAAGCAAAAGCGCACCGCTCGCGTAGTTTTAGGTGAGTGTAAAATCAGCATGAACACGATCCCTTGTTCCAAAATTGCGTATCACGTTAGGATTTTCAGTAAAGTGGGGGTAAAGTCTCCAAAAACCGTGATTTTAATGGTTTTCATTATGAAAAAATTAATTATTATACACTACCGTCGGAAATTGTCGGTCAGATAAACGTTCGAGTAGTATAAATTCGGCGCTTACATTAAAGCAAGGTATTGCAAGTTAGAAAAAAGTTAGAGACTTCTAATTTAGATGGTTGGAAAGCTGATAAAATTCTGCGTCTGAATGTATATCAAGAAATTTTTTTTTGTATTTATAACACCGAAAAGATTTCAAGCAAAAAATTATGCCATTTTCGTACTGTCGTACTAATGTTTTTGACTTCCGGCATAATCTAGAATAATTTATGGAAAAATTTGACAATTTTACAACATAATCTTTAAGATCTCAGCTTCAATTTACATTTTTGAAACTTAAAAAATGTTTTATGGTTCCTGAAATATGTTAAAAAATGTTCGAGCATGTTTTTCTACAACCCAGCAGCGAGGCGGCAAAAAGTGATGATCGACGGCTGATTTTTAGAAAAACATGCTCGGACCTTTTTTAATATATTTCAGGAAACAGAAAACATTTTTTAAGTTTTAAAAATGCAAATTAACGCTGAGATCTTAAAGATTATGTTGTAAAATTGTCAAATTTTTCCATATATTATTCTAGATTATGCCGGAAATCAAAAACATTAGTACGACAGTACGAAAATGGCATCATTTTTGCTTGAAATCTTTACGGTGTTATACATTTTCTCTTTAGATCTGGTACAAGTTAAGTTAAGTGAAAATCGACTGATTTTTCAATGACTATTTTTGCGATTTCAATTAGTCGAGTTTCACTGGAAATAAGTGAAAAATTAGTTATTTACCATCCATTTTTTACTGACTAACCAATTAAGAGAACAATCAATTTAAGTGAATCATATTGATAATTTAAATTATTTTAAGTGGACAATCAGTGAACAATGATTGGAAAATCATATATTTTAATTATTTATTTTTATACATTCCCCGCAGTGCACAGAAGTAAATATTTTCTTATTAATTTCCAATGAAATTCTATTAATTAAAATCACCAGAAGAAAGTCACTGGAAGTCGGTGGATTGCCACTGATTCAGATCAGTTTCAGAGAGTGATGTCTTTTCAGGTTATATGCTTTTTCAGTTATTTAAAAATAAATAATAATAATTACATTTTTATTTACTTCTTTAAACTTGAAATAATCTTTAAAATCAGATAAACTTTTCATCATCCTGTTCAATATTAATAGTAACTATTCTGAAAATTATTTCTATCATTAACATTTAGAATTTTAATTGTATTTCAGGATCAGAAGAGAAACTGTAATTTTTCAAAATGGCTTAAGACAATATGGGTAATTTTCTTAATCAAGATAATTTAGTAGATGATGAAGATGAAGAAATTGTACGTGATGAAGGCGAAGAAGCAGCAAGTGATGATGAAGATGAAGAAATTATAGATGATGAAGAAGAAGAAGCAGCAAGTGATGATGATGAAAATGATGGTGATGATGAAGAAGTTTTAGGCGACGACGAAGAAGAAAGAAGTGGCGATGATGGTGAAAAGGATGATGATAATAGTGATGATGAAATTGATGATAGAAGAGATATCGAAGAAAATGTTGAAATTGAGGAAAGAGTTAGGAATGAAGACAATTTACTGAATGACGACCAAGATCAGAGGTAAATTAATGACAATGAAGCAGAAAATGATGGAGTCCAAAGAGAAGGTCAACAAGAAATTCTTTTTAGAGGTATAAATACTATCGGTATGCGTGTGCTATTAGAAGCGGATCCTGATTTGCGAGCCATTGATCATTTATTAGTTTTATTAAGTAGAACAGTACGACACTGCAATACTTATGAACAAGTAATAGACCAATTAAGTTGGCTAAAAAAATCATACCGATATATAAATTTACCAACGAATAAACCAGCTTTATGGAAAGTCCTTGGCCGAAATACTGAAAATTTATCGTATCAATTATTTTGCTCATATTGTAAAGACCGAATAGAGACTGGAAAAAGAGTGGAAAGAGTGTGTTTTTGCGGAACTTGCGGACCAGAACTTGATAAATCGAATGTTGCAACTTTTGTACATATAGGCCTGACTCCTCAATTACAAGATCTTTTAAACATCCCAAATATTGTTGAATCATTACGTTATCGAGACAATGATAATGTTGAAGACATTTTTGATGGCAAAAGATATAAGACCTTGAGAAATCCAGGGAATTTCTTGTCTAATGAAAATAATTTTTCTTTGACTTTATGGACAGATGGAATTAAACTGACAAAATCGTCCCCTGCTACATCATATCCAGTAATTTTACAATTAAACGAACTGTCACCTCATGCTAGAAAACAAAATATGTTTCTAGCAGGATTATGGGTATCAAACTCGCATCCAACAATGAACAGTATCTTAACTCCAATATGTGACGAATTAAGACAACTATATGTAAATGGAGTTCTTTGAAGAAATGGTGATGTCGTGGTGACAAGTAGATTTATTACAACCATCTTCGTAGCGGATTCGGTGGCAAGGCCTGATGTATTACGAATGAAAAGGTTTAATGGCAGAAATAGATGTACTTATTGCCTTCCTGCAGGTGAAATGGTAGAAAACACTTGGGTATACGCGGTGGGCAATTATCAGTTACGTACAAACGATTCTATATCGGAAGACGGAATACTTGCTGTTCGAAAAAAAAGAATTATTAATGGAGTGAAAGGTGTTTCATCATTAACTAGACTACCAGAATTTGATCTAGTCGAGAATGTTCCAGTAGATTGCGCTCACAACACCTATCTTGGAGTGGCTAAACGTCTGGTAGTAAGGTGGCTAAATGATGCAAATGAGGAGTGGTACATCGGACATCCAGATTCAATAGCAGCTATCGATGTCAAACTTTTATCTATCAAGACTCCAACCAGAATTTCCAGAACACCAAGAAGTATAACGTTATACAGGATGTGGAAAGCCTCAGAATGGAGAAACTGGTTGTTATACTATTCCCTTCCATGTCTCGATGGAATTTTGCCTCAAAGATATTTAGTTTACCTACAAAAACTAGTAAAGGCAATCTATATACTCAATTCCGATTCTATCAGAGTAGGTGAATTAGATATAGCGCAAAACCTGCTCACCACATTTGTGCGAGACTACCAAACCAACGACTTCCTGAAAAACATGGTGTACAATGTGCACTTTCTCACTCATCTTGTTAACTGTGTTCGAAACTGGGGTCCCTTGTGGGACCCCATTCGAATCTCTAAACCGAAGAATCATTGATTCTATAACAAGCCCATATCGAAGAGCAGATCAAGTGATCACAAGATTTTTTATGAAAAAGTTCGTGATTGTA